AAAAGTAAAAAAAAAAAAAAATTGAAATTACAATAATTACAAAATAACGAGTTTATGTCGATACTGCATAAAATGAAATCAGTTCCTAGCGAACCACTATAAGATAATGCGTTGTTGAAATAAAATCGATAACCCAGTTAGCCATTGAGATATTAACTATTAGGATAATTAAAATTACAGTTCAAAACCGTATTTTTTATATTGATGCGCATTGGTAGGTTTACGGCGATGCTTTTAAAAATTCGTAAACTCATACATAACTGAAACAAGCGAGATCTACCAATGAACCAAAACATGTCATCATTGAATAGAAAGTTTACAGTAAAAAGAAGCTTTAAAAATGGTCGATAACAATTCACTTTCTGAGCATACATAACTCAATAATCATGAATGGACAATGGATTTCTAAAGCGCCTACATGATATCCCAGTGACGTCATGACCGGATCCTGGCTTATCTGCATTAAAGCCGACGGTGAATTGAGCACCACTCAATTAATACATCGTTCGTCAACAATGGATGAGCAATGTACAGTCAGGAACCTTCGCGGTATTCCACTTACAGAAAATCTGCCTTCTTGCTTGCAACGCGACAAATTGCGCTTTATGAAATATCCAGGTTGTAGTGAGTTGCACAAAGGACAGAATAATAATAATAAATAATGTACCATCGCCAAATTCCCTGATAGTACATTAACGTCGTAGCTAGCCGACCTCTTGTGCGCCACTCGAGCGGCGCGACATCGCCCGCCTTAGTACCACATGCTATATACTAGCCGCTAGGGGCGTGTGCTAACGCGGCTAAATTGCGATTTACTTATTCATGAAGTTTTGGCGCAGAGACCTTATAATGTTTACAATGTTTTTGTAGTATAGAGGTTTTACGTACCTTCGTCTATAGAACTTCGTCTATCGCTTTGAAAAATAAAAAATCTTTAAAACTTTCTTCTATAAACCTATATACAATGTGATACTCATGTAACTTGGCATAGATTTCTATGAACATAATTAGATTAATTTCTAAACTAAGGGCATTCATAAATGACTATTAAAGATCTCTGAGTAGAAGTGTAAAGCAGTAACTTACCCTTCTACTGGTCCACAAGAGGTTATCGTTGTAATATATCGTCCAAGGCGCAGAGGGCGTTCTTTGGGCGGCCCCGCGCGTGATGCCACCACAATGGCAACAATCACAATCACCAGCACAAGCACCACCACCAAACACACCATTATGTCATCTGTACAAATACAATACAATATGAATAAAACCAAATCCTTTGAAATTAGGAATCATTGAATAAATTCATACAATAGGAATACAAAACACCATCTTTCTATAACAAAAGTTTGTGGAGTAAACATTTATTTACATTTAGATCAAAAAGTTTACATAAAAAAAAAAAAACAAATAAAACCCAACGAATTTACATGATATTTTTCCTTTTTTTAGAATTGAAACTGTATAAATGAATGTCTTTGTGAATTGATTTATCATACTAACCAATAATAAACTTTCTTTGCCTGACTCTTTCCTTGAGTGGAAGCCGAGTTGCAACTTTTCCTTCTTCTTGATCCTGTAAAGTAAAAGTATTGTAGTAATTGTATATGAAATCAGCAATAAGGTTGCCATTAATGTTCTTTGGATCACCATTAAGGACCCGCCGCCGACTTTTTAATGTCCAATGGTTTAATCTGGTTAGATTGTCAAGCCAAAATCATATAACAATTGACATTGACAATTGAAATGCAGTCTACCGGGCTCTAAAAGTTTTAATATTTAACATGTTGACATGTTCAACTTACAGCAACATCCAACTTAACATTCTCCATGCCATCATTAGTTGTATCCAATTTATCTTCCAAGGTCTCCATTGAGGCAAGAGCGGCTTCCTGTGCCGCATTCTTCTTTTGAAACATTTTAGGATACTTTACATTGAAAATGCCTAATCGTTTTGATTGATCATTTTCTCCATCTGCAATAAAATAAATTTATAATGCAATAAAAATATCTGCAAATATTTTAACATTCTACATTATATATATACAATTAAAAACAAAATGAATACCATTGTCTTTAGGCTGTAAAAACTTTGCAAATGCTTGCAACAATCCTATTTGTGGCTTAGTATTAATATCTTCATCGGTTTTTTCTAGTGTTTTCTCATGTTCTGTATCCTTTTCTATAGTACTATCATCCTCCTAAAACAAAAAAAAAACTAAGGAGATTGAATTCCACAAAACTGATATAACCTCACAATGGTAAAATTTCAGTTATTTTAAATTATAATAAGAATGTAAGTTGTTGGAATATTTTTAATAACTGTGTAACATATTTTATCATAAAGTAATCATCAAGAAAGTAAATTATAAAAACACATTCCTTACTTTTGTCTTATCTTTGTCGGAATTCCTTGTAAAAAAACCAGGCATTTTTATTGCTCCTATAGGAATATACTTTGGTTTGACTTCCCTGCCTTGCTCAGTCACGTCCCCTGCTAATGCCGCTCTAACCGTCCCTTCTCCTTCCATCTTTTTATCTTCAGAATCCAGTTTTTCATTTTCAGCTTTCAGCATCATTTCTTTTTCTTCCTCCTCAATTTGTTTTTTATCCAAAGTTTTATTGTCGTTTTCTGAATCCATTTGATTCATATCGACGGTACTCATGGTTGAATTAATAAATGGTACACAAGAAAACACAGTATTTTACATGGATGAAGATTAAACACACTCAGATAATACCATGCGGGTTTCTTATAATGTAACTAATTATAGTTTATTTTCTAATAAAGTATCATTTTATAAGACGCTATGCAATGCAGTAAAAAAAAACGATTCAACACGCATAAATGCACATCAATGGCGCACAAAAACCGCGCCGCTCCCCTCCCCACGCTCCTTGAAGCCCCCATCAGTACAAAGTTGCCTACATAATAAAATAAAATAGTAATTTTCTATCAACAACTCAATGTGTACTTTGTTTCGTATATATGTTACTTATGTTATTATTTTCATTAAACCTCGTATTTAAGTGTGATTACTTAGGGTAACGGGCGTGACTTATGTTGTTATACAACCTTAAAGTACGTAAACATACCTATTGTAATTTAAAAATGGATCCATCCTTTTTTATACTTACACTGTGAATCTGGTTTTAAACCTGTTGAAGTGTAGTTTTAAGCATTATTACCAAATAAACTGGAAATGAGCAACTGAACAGTTTTGAATTAACATTTTTGACATTATTTATTCAGTCAGTGTTGCTATTACAAGAAATTGTTTGTAATTTATTATTATCCTGACCATTGTGAAGGTAGTCCAGACTAAATTAGGGCATTGTGCATGATAACAATAACAGAAAGGGCTTAAATTTGTGTGTATTAGTATGATGACTTTTGCCAATATTTGTTTAAAGTCATTATCATTAACCTCCAAACTGTTATGGGTATCTATTGCTTTGTGGGTGACAGTTTTTTTTAATTCATCCATTAAAAACAAATTAAGCCATAACATTATTTATTAATTAAAATACATCTAATAAATAACAGAAAAAATTAATGTTTTTCTAAAGCTTTCACTAGTAGGTCATTAATATGATTGACTAAATTTCTTGGATCCATAACCAGTCCGGCAGTCACCATAGCATTTGAGAATAGTTGCTGGGACACCATGTTGGCTAGTTCTTTGTCGCTGGATACTAGTTTGTGTAATTTCTTTATTATTGTATGTCTGCAAAGGAAAATAAAGAATTGTAAAAAAAAGTTATAAATCATTTACAAATAAAATCCAGAACTTCTTACTTTGCATTGATTTCTAATTGAGGTCTCAATAAAGAGAATCTGTTTTCTTCACTGAGATTTTGCGCTTGAGTCCTTATAAAATGTCGCGCGGCGGCCATTTCTGGTATAACAATAACACATGGATGTGTGTCCAACTTTTGTGTAGTGCGCACTTCAAACACTTTACCATTTAAATTCGATTTTAAGAACGATATTAAATCATTAACTTCATTTTGTTGCAAGTCGTCACTACCTAAAAAAATAACATAAAATAATGAGAACTTGATTCCATATTTAATATCTATTTTTGATGAATATTGGTTATTAATTTTACCTATAACTGTTTCACTTTTATCAGTGGATTCCTTTTGCATGTCATTTTCAACTGACACTAAAGAACGTCGGCCGAATTCTTTCAGTTCTAGTAAAACCAGTTCATCATACATTTCGTAACAGAACAGAACTTCGAGATCGCGTTTCTTAAGTGATTCATAGTACGGTGATGTTTCGGCGAGTTGACGACTGTAAACACGAAAAAATCAATTAGTACTATATTTCTATAGATTATATAAAGATAAAAAGTAAGCTTTGTCATTATTTTACAGTATAGTAAAATTGTATTCAATGATAAATCGTATTTTCATAGTTGGTTAAATAAAATTCAATGAATTTCTTACCTGGGTGCAGCTAAATAAAATATGGACTTCTGATCATCCTTTTGCCTTGCACAATAATCTGCTAAAGATGTCTTTACTCCTGCTTCTAATTTGGATGATTCAAATCGTAGCATTTTTGCAATTTCTTCCTAGATATTAATTATAAAAAAAAATATATAGAAAAAAGAAATAAACAAGCCATTGTGTTAGGCATTTACAATATTATCAAATTAAAGGCATAAAAAGTATTAACCTTTTCTAGAGGACTCTGACTGGTCACAATTCCTTCTTTCAGGAACAAGGAGTAATCCTTGTAGAATGCATCAAAACCGACTGGATCTTTTTGAGCCATTTCACACATGAACTTTATGAATCGGTTTGTTAAAACTGTCCGCAATTTTCTGAAAGTATAAAGAACAATGTATATTACGTTTTGTTACCGAATAAACTATTTTATTGTTTTTTTTTCTGGATTTTAATTTACTTCTTTAATTTCAGTAAAGTACATTCCAAGAAGGTTGTTTTTGGGAGATGGGCACATTTACTTTAAAAAATTTACAATTAAGCACTTACACAATTAAAGCACTATTTTGTAATAGTTCTCTGCTTAAGTTAAGCGGTATGTCCTCAGAATCCACAACACCTGGAATTTCATTAATGATTTTAATCTTACTAATATTATAAATGCGAAAGTTTAGATGGATGGATGTTAAGAGTTTGTAGCCAAAACGGCTAAACGGATCTCGATAAAATTTGGCATAGACATAGAGTATAGTCTGGAAGAATACATAGGCTACTAACTTTTGTTTTTTGGACTCCACGCGGACAGAATCGCGGGCGAAAGCTAGTATTGTTATAAAACAAACATGCCTATAAACTAAACACTAAACTAAACTAATTAAACAGAATAATCTTTATACAGAAGAAAAATTTATGAGTTTATTAAAAACTCACAATACAATATGAAGTTTTTTTAAAACTTACCTTTAACAAATCTTAACCATTTTGGTAATATATTATCAGCTTTGCTTTTAATCAATATTTTCCTTGAGTACAGTGAAACACCAACATCGGAATCCCGAGACATTTCAAAAAGTCCCGGTTTTCCTTCAGGAACATAAAGTATTGATCGAATACTGATCGGAGCATCTGTTTTGTAATGTAATGTAAAACGTGGCTTATCGTAAGAATTGCTGATAAACCTATAAAATTCCACATGTTGTTCATGTGTAACTTCTTTTGGTTCCATTAACCATACTGGCTGAAAAGGTTATTCAAAATATTATTTACCTTTAAAATATTATAATAACATTTTACTAATGCTCTGTATATAATATACAAACCTTTATAGAGTTGACTTGTTCATTATTTAGTAAAATAGGGCTTCCAATGAAATTGCTATATTTCTTGATTATATCTGAAAAAACATGGGATTTATAAAATATAAAATATCATCAATAAAATATAAATATACATAGTTGTGAATCAAAGGTTTAAAACTTATAAATATAATGCGACATTTTAATAATATACTAGCCATCGCTTGCAACTTCAAGGGGAAAAATAAAAAAATACCCTATGTTATTTACTGATAACTTAGTTTTTTAATGGCGAAAGAATTTTTGAAATTGGCCTAGTAGTTTTTGAATAATTTCAATAGATACAAAAATACAAATAATTCCTCTTCATAATATTAATACAGAAATATAGATTTTTACCTTTAACTCTTTCATCATCAGCAAACTCCCTGCAATCAGTTTTGAGATAGACAATTATTTTTGTTCCAATTGGAACATCATCCATTTCTTGAATTTCATATGTTCCAGATCTGAAAATTTTTATAAATTAGCAAGATAATTTTAAGTGTTTGGCTACTGTATGGTTATGTGATAAAGTGTTTTAACACAAATACTTTGTGTTTTACAATAAGGAGTTTGTGATTAAGACTTAGGATTGGATTGATAAATAAAATGAAACATACCCATCAGAATTCCACTTAAACCCTGGTGAACCTGACTTACTGCTCCTTGTGTAAACTTCAATTTTATCAGCTACCATAAAAGCTGAGTAAAAACCTACACCAAACTGGCCAATTATTGTATTTGCTTGTTCCGCACCTTGCTTCTTTATCTCTTCTATGAAAGATTTGGAGCCAGATCTAGCTATGGTACCTAAATTTTGTATCAATTCATCTTTCGTCATACCTATACCATTGTCCTGAAATAAAACATACTCTCATATTTTGTTATCAAAAATGTATGTTTTAAAAACTTTATGATATGCATATTTTAATACTACTAATCTAGCAAGATTAGCTGAAAGTATAACAAATTTCAATTCTGTTCGAAAAAAAATTGATTACTTTTCATAGCATTTGTGAATATAAAGAATTAATTCTTTTATTTAACAAAAAATGTCTATGCTAATTATGATGTTAAGACTAACTAAATTAAAAACATTGTTTACCTGGAATGTAATAGTTCTGTTTTGTTTATCTGTGATGAGTTTAATTTCTAGTGCTCTATCAGTGTTGTCCAACTGTGGGGTGCCCTCTGCACCACTTACACTCAAATAACGGAACTTCTCCAGAGCATCACTTGCATTTGATATCAGTTCCCTAATAAATACCTACAAAAGTAATCCAATGGTATTTACAATAACTATTATTCACCATATACAAGATAAAGATTTAAATTACTTACTTCTTTATCGGAATATAAAGATCTTGCTACAATATCAAGTAACATGCGCGTTTCGGCTTGAAATTCTTTCTTTTCAGGATTAGATTTTAGTACTTCGGCTTTTTGCTGATCAGACACGGTACTAAATTTTGCCGATTGAATCGATAATGTCTCTGTCAAATAAATGTTAAATTAATATGTACGAAAATATTTAATAACTATATCACAAAACAAATAAATTTCAAACAAACCCGGCTTTCTTAATATAGCAATCCGATTAACATAATTTGCATTATTCCTCGAATGACAAAGTAACCTCTTAGCGAATTGTATTGATAAACTTGATCTCGCGCGTAATGCTGACATTGTTTAAATAAAGAAATATCTTAAGAAAGCTTTATACCACTGTTTAAGTTGTTTTTAAATTTATAACACAAAATAACAACTATCTAGTTAATTATTTGAATTCGATTATTTTCTAGGTATTGATCACGAAATGAAGGAAAAACAAAATTTATGAAACTGTCAATGTCAATTCCAAACAGCAGTTTCTAAGATTATAAAATTATAAATAAATTATAAAAAAAAGTTTTTTTTATTTTCGTATCTTTAAAGGACAATTTTATTTCAAACATTGGTAATAAGATTATTGGTAAACTACGCAACTACAGTTTCGAAAATAATATGGCTTCATGACAAGGCCAAGATGAAAGAAAGCTATGGCAAAAAAAGCATTGTATATTTTCTTGTCAAACTACTGTCCTAAAGAAAAGGATGGGCTATGAGAAGTGACATTTTGTGCTTAGCTGAGTTTCGCCATTTTGGCGCTTTTGGTACCGGTTGCTAGCGGTGGTGAGGATGTGAACTAATAATAGAGATGGAATTAACTGTCACTAACGTCAACTGGCGCGTTTCATTCGAAAATAAGCAATAGCTGTCATTCCCTAGCAATGACCTATGCAAGTGTCGGGAATAATGTGTCAAATGTACCGAAAACAGAAAACCACCAAGCGTCGTTGAACCTCGATACGTCAGTTTAGTCAGTTCAGTTGATGTTTGAGGACATGTTTGGTTTGGACGTTTTGGTTAATACAGAATTGTTTGTGGGAGATTAGTAAATAAATAAGAGTTTTTAATTTTCTTTTATACTTTTATTTTCATTTGAAGTTTATTGGGTCTTACTTTGGACGTAGACAAACAAATATATCATAGTTGTAGTGTGATTTAATAACTTTTACTATTCCAAAACATTTTAAGTGGCAGTATCAAAAGTTTTGAATTGTAAACGTAACCTGTGGCTAACATACCGTGTGTGTGTCATGTACTGTGAACTCTAACATAAACGATACTTGAGTTTCTAAGATTTAGAGTGGTCAAGACTTGCAGAGAGTGTCAATATGAAAGACGTGCTTAAGGTGTTGAGGACGAACTGTTATTTTCTTACAGTGCTTTCGCATGTGCGTTGCAGCACTTGAATAAGTAGAAAAGTGATATAAGACTGAGAATGAGGGATCAAAGGTGAAGGAGCGTCAGTAATCACCGTGGAGCACCTGGTGGGAGGCGGTGGCGCGGGCGGGCTGCTGCCCGGCGCCTCGCCCGCCCAGCATCCGCCGAACATGCTTCAGCCCATGGAAGAGATGATCTTACCACCCAAACGGCAAGCTGTTGTTGATCGACTCCGGTAAGTCATACTATTAAAGTAAACTGTATATCTGTTCTTTATGGTTGCTGATCCTCAATCATGTAAAGGCTGAGTTATATTAATCAAGTTAATATTCTTAATTTAAAAACGGTAATATAAATTCTTAACAACCAGGTCTGCATAGTGGTATTAGAAAATCATAATCACTTTCTATTTTTCTATCTTAGGCGAGCTTCTTGAATTTTATTTATTCACATTTCTGGAAAAGTTGTAATTTACATATAATTTTCCTATATAACATATTCCACAATTATGCCAGTTTATCATTTTTATTGTTTTAAACTTGGCTTGCTAAGTCCTCATACTATTATTTCACCTCATATAGTAGTAGAAGTTGCATGCTATTGCATGATATATTGATGATACTTAAAGTTTTGTTTGGTGTGGGAGTGAAATTAGCATCGTAATTATGATAAATATAGGAGCCAATGATATTTGTAAAGATAAAACAGACTTATGTAAACGGAAATTACACATTAAACAAATATTTCTCTTAGTATGCGAAGGCATGGAACTGACCTCAGACACTGTTTCAATATGTCACTGTTTAATTATTTGTAATTTAAATAAAGCTTCACTAAATGTTCATGTGTTCTTCCTTGCTATCTGACTAATGCTATAAATGCCAAAGTTTAGATGGATGGATGTTTACAAACAGGTAACTCCTAGACAATTACACTTTTATGGATCAAATTTGAAATAAGATAATGTTATGGATAGTGTAGGCTGCATCTACTATAAATATAAAGCAATATAGAGATAGCGTTATATCTCTATAAATGTGGTACATGTTTATCGTTGGCAATGGAAATACACAGTTAAATAAAAAAGTAATATAAAATGTTATTAATCAATACTTTTATTAAATTGCTTGTATATGTCATTTACATATTAGGATTGCTAAAAGATTCACTATATTCTGCTGTATTTGAAATTTGTTGATACATGCCATAATCACAACTCTCTGTCTGTCCCTGTGTTCATATTTACATCCATGTTAAATAAAAATTTATAGGATCATTAAGATTAAACTTTGAAAGGGTAAAATGTTTTGTAAATGTGTTATATTTAATGTCTTCCATATAGTACACTAGCTTTCGCCCGCGACTCTATCCGCGCGCTGTTTAGGCTACAAACTCTAACAAACATCCATCCATCCACCTTAACTTTTGCAATTATAATATTAGTAAAATTAGCAAATATGCTTAAGTCTATCAATTTCTAGGAAGTTCTTATCAAAATGACAAATGTTGTAGTTGATCAGGATCTCCATGGGCTTTGTTGATTACCTGAATGTTTCGGCCCACGTGTTTACTCCTTTACTTAAAAAAATAATTCTGTTTCATCAAAGTTTTGGTTAATTTCGCATTATTCAAAGCATTTATTAGTTTCTCAGATGACAATGCCGTATGCGTGTAGATAGTGTGAACACTTCAACATTACGGTGCCGAAGGTAACGGTACCGGGCGGCGGGGGGCGAGGGGCGAGCGGCGGTCGGGCGCGGTGCACACGCCACCGGCCCGTTCTATTTACACTGCAGGTTGCAGTTACGTTTCTAAACCAGAACTTTCGGATCGTGATTGTCTTCGATTCAATATCAAATTCTTGCATTGTGTATTACAGTGATATGCTGCAATACTTTCATATTTGATACATTTTATTCTTAGCAGTTTTAATATTCTTTTTACAAATTATATACTAGATATAACTACGTAGTTTGGTGCACATCAAATATATCCTATATCCTAAATACATACCTGTTTTATATGTAAAGTCCAGTACAGTAGTTAAAACCCGACACTATCTTCAGTAAGAACGCTTTTAGTTTCTTATCAGATAAATTATGAGTGTGCCAATTCTAAATACTCGTATCATCCGGCTTTAGACTTATGATGGATGCTTACCTCACTTGGCTAATTTATATTGGTGATTGAACATTAATAAGCAAGTGGGTGTTGCTTTGGTTCCTTCTGCATATCGTGTTTACGATACTCTAGAATATGTGTCAATGTGAAACTGCTAGATGTAATCAAACTGATTCATTCTACTAAAAGAGTAACATGGCTAAGTGTCCATAAAACATGTAATTCTCTGATGGATAGAAGCATGAATGACTTCCTGTGACAAGTATGACGATTTTAGTGCTAATAAGATTTATATTCACATTTTATGTTGCTAAGTATATTGTACACAAATTCACACTTGCCGCCAGGTATTTGTGTATCAGATAAGAACGTGTTTGTCATCAATAGTCGCCAGTAGTTCGTTGTACCTGCGTGACAAATACTTTTGATAAACATGTTATCACGTTACATCATCACGTTTACAAATCTTGCTCGTCAGCCTCTGTCACGTCATTTGTTTGTTGTACCTTCACGTGATTCGCATGATTTTTTGTGTTATGAGAGTTTGTATTGACTATTTTTCGCAACTGTCCCTAATATCTGCAGACTACATTAAAACGTTGACCTAGAATGAAAATCTTGGATGGAAAAAACTAGTCCGTACATGTGATAAGTTCTGCAATAAAATGAAATTAATACGTTTTTCGATTAATGTAATTTTTAACGAATTAGCAGTATATAGAAATTGTTTTATAAGTAGATGTTTGCTTTTGAAGAAGCCTTCTCCGTTTTGAAGGTTCGTAGCCGACCGCCGAAGTTTGTTTCTGACGGTCAATAAGCTGCTCCGATCTTTTTCTTAATTAGTTGAAAATGTTGCCATGACTTAAAGTTACTAATTTTATACGGTTTCGCTGATCTCGTGACTACTGCGAATTATGATATTAAGGGAGAGAGCTAGCAAGACAATGGTTTTTGCGACTATATATATAGTTGTGATCAAGGCTCCGAGCTCCTCGGTTGGAACGTATAGTGATTTTGTAATGATGAAACATACTTGTCTCATTTTTGTTTGATTGAGACTCGCGACGGGAATCCATTGACTAGTTAATTAAGATCTCATTAAAAGGTGATTATTTAAGAAGCTGTACTATATTATCTTATAACACATATTTCATTTTAGATAAATAATCCTATTAGTGTATGGTAAGAAGAGAATACAGATGCTTTCCCGAGTTACCACAAATGGAAGCTAGTTAGACGGATTAAAAACCACTGTGAGAGTTGAAATAATAATACTATCCGTATCTAAGTATATCTAATGTCGCGGTGAAAGTAGTAAATCGTGGAATACGGATAAGATCTTTTGCCTAATATGTCGCGTGTGCTCCGCTTAGAATGCCACTTGCATACGCTAAGAATACGCTTTTAGAAGCTGGAGATTGTTACATTACTTCCCCACCTTACTTCGCCTGTTGTACAGAATTAAAATAAAGGTTTAAACTTAATTTGTCTCATTTAGAAAAGTTTTGTAAGTTCTATCAACATCTATTTCAAATCATCTACAGATTTCAAAATTTGCAAGTTGATGTCTTTTATTTATTAAGTGAAAACCATAAGGACATATTGAAAATCTTTAATTTAGCTATTATCACCATTAAGTCCCTTAATAACTCAATGAATAAATTTTTCGTTAAAGGAAGTCAAATAGATGAGATCACGTGTTCGATTTTTGAAGATAGTCAGCAAGAAAGCGGGTGGGGACACAACGGCGTGGAGTCAGTGACATAGCGTGACATAGAATCCGGGACTTATCGACGGTTGTTTGCGTAGAGCGACAGCGAGCCTGGTCAATGAACTAAACAAAAACACCTACGACTTTACTGTGCATTGCGCGGTGTGGCGTGTGTCGGCGAGAGTCGTCCTTACTCACCAGTTAATGGAACACTATACACCATGCTCGGTGACTATCGTATCACCTTTTTTTTTTCTTTCACACCTTACTATACTGTAAAGCCCTAGAGCGTATCGCTCGCGCTGGTAAAGATAGGCGCTTACACCGATACCGGCTATATTAGCAATTTAAATTTATTTAATTTGATCACAAGTCACAACTCCGATAGTTAATGATTTTGTTCATATTATAGTTAGTTATGTGAAAGAATCTCTATAATGGCTTGTTGTTCTTTGCTTTATTCTTAGTTGACATTTTATTCATTATTTAGTTGGCAGATGAAGTTAATAAAAACAATTATAACTATGTCTTTCCCAACCTATGGATTTCTCAAATTAGTTTCAGGTTTGTTTTTCTTAGCAAAAGACCATTTACATAACGATTAATTGACATTTCGATCGCTAAAATTCTAATGTCAGTACAATTAGTCCTTAACTAAGGCGGATGACCTAAGTTCACCGGAAATCGATTAATGCAAATATGCCGCAATTTATGTGTGTATCAGCCCGCGCTGTGTTAAGAGTCCGTAAAGCGTTGTCATAAGCCTTGTTCAATATTGGAAGTTAGTAGTGCTAATAAGCATTTTTGCTTCGTTATAGTTGTAACTTCACGAAAATATAACACTTGTAAAGTTTATAGAATAAACTGTTTATGAAATATGTATTAATAAATTATTAGTAATCACCGAGGTCCGGGAATAACCCAAGTTTTTTTTTTAAATTATATTATCATTTGCTGACTTCTTTGTATGTAAAACAAAACATTACCATTTTAAAAGTTACTGATTAAAATGAAAAAAAAAAAACAAATTGTCCACATAAATGAATGCACGATACTGGTGTGTTATTCAAACAAACCCTAATTTACATATGTTTTATTCTTTTACCGAGTTCAATGGTATGGTCCAACTCGAGGGTAAAGTGGTGGATTTTAAATTAATGCAACGTTTCTACGTTATGTGAAACCTGTTTTATCGCTGCACTCTATGCTCCCTTGGATTAACGGTTTTAGGAAATTTTAATTTTGGAAACGCATACTTTGTCACATTTCGAGCTAATGATGATGATTTTAATATTGTCTGTTTATCGTATTTTGTCAAAACGTTTGATTATTTTGTCATCGCGACGATGAGAACGATTTTAATATTATCTATTTATTCTATTTCGCCAAAAGGTTTGATTATTTGCGTTCAGCACAGTTTTCTCCTATAACTAACGCAGAGAAAGTGGCGGAGTGGAGTTACAACTGGTAACATCGCACGTAATTAGTTTCACCAGATAGTGATAGGGTTGCTACAAATTTATATATTTTCTCAATTATTTTGTGGCGTGACTGACCTGTGAACCAAAGTTATGTAATATATCGACTGTTTAAGGTGTTGTACTTTTTGTATTTATAGTTAATTTGCTTATGCTTATTCTTATAATTTAATAGTAACCATGTTAGCCTTGACTGGATATTGCGCATTAGTTCTAACGATAATGGGTTCAAATGCCTAATGCCTACACTCCTAGTTTGATATTAATATATTGCTATCTCAATCTGTATATAAGGGTTATTCCTTCTTACATAAAATTGCAGAGATAAAATAATCTAACCTTATTGTATCCCAGACAAGTCCGTTGGCTTTTTGCCATCGAGGATATCGACCCTTTAATTTTAAAAAATCCTTTGGTAATCATAACCTCAAGTTTACTACCTCAGGAGCCTCTTTTATCTATTTTCATTATCTCGCATAATCACATTATTAAATTGGTAGATATCTGTTTCCTGTTCGGAACTTCTTATTGGACTCGGTCGGACAGTTGTAAATTTCAGGTTGCAAATTCGTTTCAAAGTATTTTTTCTCTGTCTGGTAAGTTTACCATTATTTGTTGTATAAATCATGAAAATTTTCGAGTATTTCGTCGATGTTGGTTTTCGGCGCCTGTAGCGAATATATTTGTGCTGAATTGGCAACGTCGCGTCAGACGATGATCGTATCAATGACCGCGGAGCGACAACCTCGCTTTATTCACGAGGATTTGTCACACAACCAACAATTTGTAAGATAATTAAATGATTATAACACATTAAGATTGTTACAGGAGCTAAATAGGTCATACGATTTAGATTGGCCCATAGAGCATGCTCTATATTGTGTTTCATTATACAGATTGGTGTAGATACAACTTGTAATAGTTGAAGACTTTGTTTGGGATAATCTTGGACACTGCTCGAAAGATTTGAAATTAATGACACTGTTATTATAAATTCAGATTATTCAACAATACGCTACGAGATAGGTTTTTCTTTGGAAAAGCATTCAATAAAATCATAAGATAGTTCTTTTGCTACTGCCTACGTTAACCACGTTCGAGACTACACGCCGTGCAAATTTCAAAGTCGTGCATGCTGTGAACGTGTTAATAAAGATATTATTGAAGGTAAGAGTTGGTATGAAACAGAGATGTGAGTGCTCGAGTACCGAGGTATCAGGTTCGAGGCGCCGTGACGTCAGCGCTGATATGAACCGGTTGTGTAACGGCGCATCGTACTGATGTTTAAATACAAAACTATAGTGATCGAATGATCGATCAGTCTCAGACATGACTATATCATCGATAGTGCAAATGATAAGATCATACAATGCAACGATGGTATTTAACTGAGAGCTTCACTCATTACTCCTGCATTTTACCGCGTTCTGACAAAGTCAAACGGCAAATCTTTGCAAGTGAAGTTTACAATTGTCGTCTAATTTAAATGCTGAATTTTAAACGGTGATGTGCTAGCAACTTATAATTTATGAATTATGTAATATTGTTATGTAATTAATATTTATATCATAACAAGATACAGTGAAGCAATAGTACTAAACACATTTTAGACTTAGAGAAAGAATTTAACAATTATTTTTAAAGAAAAATTGTCTTGTAGTCAGTCATAAAAATGTCGCCGAGAAAATTGAAAAGGATTAATTAGGAAAATTAAATAGACGTAATTTGGCAAATATTTTTAAAGTAAAATGGTCTTGTAGAGTCAGTCATTTAAAGGTCGTCAGGAAAATTAAAAAGGAGGTTCTCAAGTATGGCCGCGCGATAATCCTAGTTTCTTATTTACAAATATGACGAATGTTTACATTTGTGTTGTAATAAATAAGCCTATTGCTATTAGAATTATCAGATAGCCTTCAGCTACTTTTGTTATCAAACTTTTATTGCAAAGATAAGGAGAGGGAATATCTCATATAGTATGGAATGTTAGATTTATAGATTTTATTTATCTACTAAGAATTAACCATAGCAATATTTGATACGTCCTGATGATTAATACCAAATATAACTCCTGTTAGTTAAGATAAATATTTAATATCCTTTTAATATATAATATCTAGAGCTAAACAATTGTCGTTGGTAACGTTAGATGATAATATGAAATATACTTGCGAATGTAAAACAAGTAAAATCCATTAGGTATTGTGAAAAATGTAAATGATTTAGCTCTATTGACGGCAACCTTGAGCGCTCGATCGCCGGCGCGACTGCGGAATAAATGAAAACAATGTAGGTAATGATTTTTTTACCGGAGCAGACGAAAAGTCAGCGGTAACATTGGAGCAAGGTGACCGATGACCGGTCGGGTCGCGGCTGAGTGGGCTTCGGCTGCGTGTTGCAACCACCACCTACCGCGCGCCTCGCCAGGTTTCGCCTCGGCGTCGACGGGTGTACGAGCACATCCGTTGTCAAGTGTGATTAGATTTATCTTCATTAAACAACCGGTATTTTATTATGTATTCGCACCTTTATGATCGTTTAAGGATTTTAACTTAAAATCCTAGTTAACCAATATGTTGATCGTCGTTAATTTATTTAATTCTAAAAGAATACCAATGACCATTATGTATTAGACTTTTTTTTAATTATGTTTCGTATCGTTTTTTGAAAGAGGTGTTGTACAGCTAAATAGACCTGCATTTGTTATTAAATAAGTCTTTGACAAAATATAGACGTGTATATGTTAGAAGTTGTTTATAATGTTGGCAATAGTCATTCAAACGGATGCAAACCTGTCCGATGAGTCAGGGGTTCCGGCGTCCATGCCGCGTGCCTAATGTTTGCTCGCATCGGACTAACCAATAAGTGCTTTATAAGAAAAAATGAGGGCGTTTTACTACTCTCAATATCTTATAACTCTTTATATTCTGCTAAATATTTTTATTTTTAACGTTAATTAATAAAAATATTGCCGTCATATGTTCGATAATTTTAGTATAAATTGACTTACATATTTTTTTATAACATGGTTGAAATTTTGATTCTATTTATGTTACACCGTTTTAGGAAAATCCTTAACCGAGGAGTCATTCACATTCGTAATATTTCCTATCTTTTTCCCATCATAATGAGTGTAATATGGTTTTGAGTCACAGCAGTACTGTATTTCAAGCTATTTTCCGCTATGGTAACAAAAGATTATGCAAACTCGTTGCCACACCCGACCACTGATGATGTAACCTTTGCCTTCATTCGACCTAATGTAATTATTAACGGGGAATAATAATGGTCGTCCTATCAAATTGAATCTTAGAATCCACTCAGATTCAATGCAACATCACAGACACAGACCTGATTAATTCATTAATCTGTATAACCTTTTAAAGTCAAGATTTTTTTAGTGGAAATTGTATCTCAAAGAGCCTTTAAAGCATTTGAAATTCTATTGTGTTGAAAACTTATATTTCAATATCTACTCTCTTTGTCCACAGGCGTAGAATAGAGACGTACCGGCGGCGGCAGTCAGAATGTGTGCCGCGATTCGACCAGTCATTCACCGGAGCATGCGAGCAGCAGAACTTGGAGACCAGCGCCCTGCAGAAGCGGTTCCTCGAGGGCAAGGCGAAGCGGCAGGCCAAGAAGACGGACCGCAAGCCGGACCTTCCCGCGATCAGTAGCAATCTGCACAGCAGTGTGCATGTGAGCTGTGTGAGCTACTTTGCATCTTTATATTTTTTTTGTCATACAATCTAAGGCTGTTTTCATATTACTAGTTTCAACATAGGATACAATCAAAGTGTTTGAAATTAGCTATTTTTGAAAATTTTACTTTATGATCACTATGGTATTTACATTATAGTATTTAGAAGCTAATTTTTATATTCGGGTCTAAATTTTATTTTTTTAAATACCGTATCCGTGATTAATTTTTATCAAAACGCTTTAGCGTAAGTTCTGATGTGAAGACAGCCTTTTATCATCTTTTGTAACTATTTTGTTTCATCTTATATATGTCTTTCATTTATTGACGGCATTTGATTTGGCTTCCGCTACGCGAATGGACTGGTTATTAGTCAGACATATGAATTGGCGAAATGCTACTGTGATCATGTCACAGCGGATATTCCTTGTATTGAAATAATAGGGTTGTCTCGAGAGCTCATTCATATGGTAAACTGTTTTAACGGTCACAAAGATTTCGAAGTCTATGTTAACCTTTTTGAAAGAATATTAATAATGTTTTTCAAATAGATTTGTGTGTAATTCAATTGTAGTTAATTTCTGTAAAAGAATACAGGATAACTATTTTGAGATTTAGGATTGAATTATATGACTCGTATGCAAGTAAAGGGTCGATGTATAGAGTTGATAAATAGTTGCGGTGGAGTAAACTTCCACGGCACGTGTGACGCGGGTGGGCACGTGTCGCACGTGCGCCGCAGTTACGTGGCTGTCGCTCAACTCTGAAGTCGTCTGATGTTTGACCAAGTTTTTATAAATCCAATTCCGATATAACCAAGGATACTGAAGTCTACAATTTTTTATGCCCATTTACAAACATTATTTACTCGATTACAATAAAAGAGCCCTTAACCTATTAGAGTAGACAGACAGACATTCATTTGGCAAGGTCCTGACATCTCTCTCTCTCTCATATCTTTTACTATCATACGTCTTAAGTTTTTCATCCACCACCCCTACTCACTTTCGTCCCATTTACAAAAATGTGTAAGCAAAGAGGTTGAAGTTAAGTAACCTCTTTATTCTGTCATTCAAAGCTACCATTAACATCTGTGGTATCCTATTCATTCTAGAGGAATCCCCAAGAAGATGAGTATCGATATTAATAGAAAAATCGGAGTAGTCTGTTACCTTAAAACCGCAGTATCTCTCGATAGTTAGATAATTGGCACAAGCTAAGTATCATCTGATACTGATAGATTCTCTCCACTTAATAACGGAGGCTTTTGTATTGCGCAAATGTTTTTGCGACACATTTACATTGTTACATGTGCTTTACTTTCACTAACAAGACGACGATTACGCAACCATTTAGCGACGATGTAACGTTTATCGCTCCGGTGCAACACACGAACGTGATCAAATTGTTATACTTGAATGGCGATAACATTTCTTCATGACATAGATAGAAGTACAAACAGATCTGGAATTTATCGTACTGTCTCCTAAATTACTACCAGTATAACACATCCACGTATTATAATTGTAAATCTACGCATTATTCCTTCAATCATGCAGTAAATATGCCATTGCTGATCACTTGGTTACTTTCCCCTCCAACTTACACGACTAATGATGAAAAATCGTCTTCAATGATGTAGAGCTGTGAATTTACATGGATTTTGTGATTTTTAACTTATTTTTATATTTGCCTTTTTACTGAGAAGTGTACGTACAAATAGGTTAAATGCCTGGTTGCCACTGATGTTTGCATTACCTCGATGTTTTGCATTTTTTCAATAATATGCAAACAATAACTTTTTTATCAACCACATCGCTGTCACAATCATCCTAAGCCTTTTGTAATCTTGATATGTTTTGAAACTATATGAGATGACTTGGACATAATAATCTTGATAAAATTCCTGTCTCGTTATTCTATACTTGAAAACGATTATTACCTTTTTAAAGTTATATAGGTGTAACAAATCTTTCATGCTGTACCATATTTTCAAGTTGTGAAATCTTTTTTTCGTGTCTTCCAGCTATGAAATAATAAGATTAGTGACATTAAGAAGATTTACTTACTCGTAAATTAAGTTAAAACCGTAGATTGAGCGCAAAGAGCGTGTCATGTGGAGTGCGGGGGTGTGTGCCAGGGGAAGGTGCGGGAGGGGTAATTAGCCGCGAGCACGTGCGTAGGTACCGAGCGCCGGATGTAGCTCGACGTCAATTGACTTGACCCCCTGCATCCCGTGCCTCATACGACGCCGCCACACTGTAATGACAATCAGTATCTTAATGCTTAAACATTGTTGTATGAAGATTTTTATACTATGCTAAAAGTTACAAGAGCTCGCACTAGATGTTATCAAAATCAAAATCGATTAATTCAAAACTAATTTTAATACAACTTTTTTGATAACTTATCTAGCTGTTTAGGTTAGAAGACAAAACTCACAAGCTATCAGTCACAATCTTTTCATAATGGCCGGTGTGAGGCGATGGGGACATCCGCGTTTACGTTAGGGTCGTGATAGCTCGGTAACAGAGGGTAGACGCGAAAGCTACATATTTCCGTCCACCCCAATTGGGGTGAGACCTTAGACGCTTGTACGCATTAAGAGAATGGAAAGCTTTTTATAAAACACGGTGACTCTTATGGTCTTTTTATATCTCATTACGAAGTTGTATTTGTATTCTTTGAGGCAGAGAATTCCTTACTTCTGGCGGCTTTTTTTTGATCACTGACAATAGTCCAATTACATATTATAACAATAGTAATTGAATAGTTTACATATTGTGATATTTCACTTAAAAATAAATAAAACTATACTAATTATATATTTGACCTTCGCAAATACGTATTACACGCATATAAACGATTTAATATTAGGCTGTTTGAATTAAAAAAGCCAAGTTATAAATAATACAATGAATTTACCTATATCATAGTTTGTTAACGTGTTAATTACCATGAAACTGATTTGCTTTTAATTAGATTTGCGAAATAATGTTGATTGGCATTAGAACGTCGTGCGATTTTCGTAGAATTGCCGCGCTTTGTTAAATCAGGTATCATCAGAGGTATTTCCGAACCAGTGAACAACTTTGTAATCTTTAGTGTACCAGTATTTTTCTTATTGCGGATATACGTGGGCACTGATGATGTACCCATGTTATCACTGAATTCCACTCTTGGTTTTTAAACGAACGGTAAATCAAAATGTTATTCGGTACGTGTAATAGTTATTCAGCGTAATGTGTCTTTAATTACTTGAATATAGGGAAGTAGGCGCTATATTAAATAAACTATAGTTTGTTATAAAAGTTTTTTCATAATAAAATCAATCTGTCGCTGTCATTTCGATATTGCTGAAGATAATGTTTATGCCATCGTTGATTGTCTCATATTCTAAAACAAAAGGTCACACTTAGAGTTGTGAGTGAAAAATGTACAATTAAGTATTTAATGGAAACTAAGTGAGGCAAGTAAAGTAGCTTATTAGTGTAGCGGGCACTTGGCGTCGCGTCGCGTCGGTCGAGTGCGGTAGGGCACGGTTGTGCAAGCCGCTTGCACAACTTGCGCCTCGCATTGTCTCGCGCCGTTCACTGCGCCGACCTCCGCTCCTACCGCTGTACAGCTCGGCCACGCTCTATCTACCTGATAGATGATAGACTTATATCGACACTTTGATTACTAACCATGGTTTTCTAATCCAACACTCGTAGATGCATATCGTTTTCCCGCTCATTTTCCTTGATAAAACTGAGATATGTTTTTGTGCGGCTGTTTTGTCACATTATTAGCTAGCAATGATTTATTCCCGAAAACGTACTGAATGACAAACAATACTCGCGTACCAGGCTAACAGTTAATTTATAATCAGTGTGAAGGCAACATTAAAAGACCTTTCCTTATACGTGAATAAAATTGTATATAATTGACGTCATGTAAATATTTATTAATCGATTAGATTGTGCGAATTGGAGATAAGTAAAATTATGTATTGAATTTCTAAACATAATCTGTCATAATAATCCACTTTTAACACTTAATTTAAATTATTGGGCCCCTCAATTACGTTATGATGGATTTATTATGGATTTTTTTGCGTTGCAGCAACTTGCTATTGTTATTAGACTCTATATGTTAAATATTGACGTATTTAAATAGTTTGTTCCACGTAATATGAAATGAGTGGAGACCTTCAGCTAAACACATACACAACATAACGATGAATTATCTAAAGTGAAGGGGATAATTCGAAGTTAAAGTGACATAAATCAGCAGTATGCATGTCCAAAAGTCAATCAATTGATGCCGTGTAATAAATTGATGATAAAATAATTTGACCTGCAAATATGAACTCTATAGTAAACGCAATCGTTGCCAGTTTAAGAAAACAATAATATATTATTTAAAACTTTAACATCTTCTCATTTGGTGTTTAATTTTATTTGCATGGGATAGATTGTGTAGCATCGTGCGTGATACATTTGTTTATTATAACTACGCAGTTTTAGCTGTAGTGTTCGCACACGTGATGCCAACGCCGAGGTCCTTATACTTTGTATGCTTCTTACTGCGATGGAAAAATTTTAACCTTCCTTTATGTTGCGAAATATTTTAAAATACGTAGATCTGCTGCACTTAGAGTATAAGTGGAATTTTAGTTGTAACACTAAACGGCTGTTTAAGTAACCATTAAAATGACTTATAAAGATTATACTCTTAATTATTGTTGGTTTTATATCGATTGAACTATGTGATAATGAAGTTGTGTTTGTATATTGGTGCAGTTAAAGTATAAATTATGTGTTAATCGAATGCCGTAAGTCCATTTCGCTGCGGAAGTGAGCTCCCAGTAAGCCGGATATTAACAGAGTGTGCGGATTTGCTCGCGCCGCGCCGCGCCTCGTCACACCGTACTTCTCGCTATCTAGTCATCATTGTATAGTTGTTGTTGTCCATGTGGATGCTTCTGTCTTTGGTTGACCAAGGCTAATTTTATTTGTTTTCCAGGGCTTATTTAGTAATGTTTAACTAGGGTGCGAGAGTTCAAACAAGCGCCCATTATCCTAATATTGTATGTTACTATCATCCCGTAAAAAACTGTAGGTTTTATTTTCATCGATAATTATGTTTCAAACATTTGGTTAAGATTGTTGTCATCTTTTTCTAAGTGTGACAATCGGTGTGTATGTTATTGTTTTTTGGGTAACTACAAAATTATGTATTAGGTGCAATGTTTTTATTATTCCATTTTTATTTCAGCAACAAAAATTCGGTTGCGGAGACTACGAACCGCCGGCGAAGTTGCAGTGCGGAGGGACCGGAGGCGGCGGCGCGGGGGAGGGCCTCACCAAGTTCTCCGTGGAAATAGTGCAGCAGCTAGAATTCACCACCTCCGCTGCGGACTCCCAACCGCAACAAATTTCCACCAACGTGACCGTTAAAGCTCTCGCCAATGCCGTTAAAACTTCCGGCTCCCCGCCACCTCCTCAGCCGCCTCGTGTCCCGTCGCCGCTGGACTGCGAACGAGAATGCAAAGCCGAATGCAAGTCAGAAGTGGCCGACGATGAGTTTGTAGGGCTAGACGAGTGTGCGGCGGCCTTGGAACGCGATGCCGCGTCCGCTTTCCCTGGCCTGGCTGATCTGATCGGCGAGGACGATGGCGACGATACGTTTGAAGACTTAATAACTGAAATATCGGAATACCCAGAGTTCATGAAAGATTTCGATCTGGACGCGGGCAAGCTGAACGGCGGCGGCGGTTTGGCTAATAGCTTAGAGCCGAACGAGGGTGAGGCCGCGAGGCCTTACAACGGCGGCGAGATGTCTCCGGCGGCTCAGACGTTGAAGCATATGGCTGAGCAGCACCAGCAGGCGGCCGGCGGGGACTGGTCGCGGTACCGCGGCTACAGCGGTTACCGGCCGCGCCCCCAGCAGCCCACCATGGACCACCTCCACATGTCACAGCAGCAGCAGTTACATCTCACTCAGCCTCATCACAATCTACAGGTGAGTTTTCTAAAGTTTCAAACTCTGGATTCGCCACAATGCGTAGATACATTTTAGTTTATTTTGCTTTACTTTTTTTAAAAAAAGTTTAATAATCACTTTGTATTGTAATAACTAATATAAGTAAAAACTCCTTGTAAGATATAACAAACCTTGCAGGATTTAAAGTTAACGCTCAATAATTTCCCGCCAAAAATGTAATACAAGCAGGTAGTTATCGAAGCCGCTTCCGCGGACGCAGCGACGCAACGCCGGAAACCTGACGATTACGCAAACATTGTGCATTGTAAACTTAAAAGAATTGTATTGTATTAGTAGCAGAAAGAGTATCTCAGTGATGGGATTGCTTATAGTAATTGAAAGTGTTCTTTATTGGTTAATTCATGATAAGACATAAAAAACATGGGAGTCTGGTTCGGTATCGACCGGGGGATTGTGCGCGCGCCGCCCCTCCACTCGATGGATATTGCTAGGGCTTCCACAAGTTATATTTCACTTTTCAGACTTATGTTTGACGCTATTGAAAATCTTTTAAAAATTTTAAATACAAACTTGATTTAAATTTTTGCTTAATCTTCTTAAAAAAATAAATATATTTTTAGAGAAATTACCAGAATTGCGAAGTAATTAATTGTACTTTAAAACAGTCCCAGTACGTTTTATAGGTAATTATTTCTATAACAAAATTGTAAGTTAATTGGTTTTAAAGTTTTTATTAAGTTAGACTAATGTGGTTACGGGGAGTTTATTTTATCGTTACTTAAAAAATAGAAAGGATAAAGTCTGTAAGGAAGGGAACGTGTGGACACAGTAATCAGTACGAAGGGTGTCGACTGCCGACGCAAGTGCGACCAGCCTGTCCCTACTGTCTTTTTCTTGCGTACAGCTGCTCACAGGAACCTACGGAAATAGTCCTTAATAATAGATATAACGCAATGTAATTTTCAAAAACAAAAATCAACACTTTAACTTTACCTATCATTACAAACTTATGATGTGGTTTTAGCTAATAAATTTTAATTAGTTATCAAAAAACCAGCTCTTGCTACACCTAAATAATAGGAGAGATGAACTCTTAATATAGATCTAATTCTTTATTATCCTAAAAGTTAAATTTGTAGTAAAAAAAAAGATGTCTGATAGCAATTTGTAATTTTTTGTTAACTTACTGCAGTAAAACATGATCGGCGTCAGTGTTCCCGTTTTATTATGACGTACGTGCCTTTTATAGAACAGTGTATTGAGTACTAAGCTAGACGTCAAATCTCCTTAAGACCCGGTAAATTATTCCCAAATGCTTTCATGGTATAAATATAGTTGACCACTCACAAACTGAGGCCTATCGTAAAAATGTTAGAACTACATATTACGGGTTAATTCTAATTTGCAACTTATGTTAATTAGGAAGGTTAATTGGTAAAAATAAATAATATTTCTCTAAAATTCAGACTGTTAATAGCTCTGTTTAACGTAGTCTCTGTCGTATGATTCAACGCAACGTTCCTCTTATAGTGCTAGTACATAACAATGTGTACTTCGTTTGGCAAAACCCACATGTCTCGAACCACATGTGTAGCATGATAAAAAAGTTGTATACAAAAATATACTCCTATAAGTACAATAATTATATTTGTAAGTTAAAGTACGATTTTGCATCGTACTTTAACATTGACAGAAATTCGTTAAACAGAAAATCTTATCATCATCATCATCATCATCTTTCTTCTTATCCTACTCCCGTAAGGTCGGCGCAACAGGTTTTTGTCCTCCACATAACTCTATCATAAACAGAAAATCTTGTACAATTTGAAAATTCTTATAGTACTCGTAACTAATTCGCACTAAACGAAGTTACCTCTTACAAAAGGATTAATTAATTTTATTATTATTGTTTATAATATGACTTTCTTAATAATAAAAAATTATGTAGTAATTAACGACTCTAATGTTTTCTATTGTAACAAGATAATGCGCTTTGCAATCTATTCTCTGTCGGTTAAATAGATGTTGGGCCGTTGACATCAGATGTGCTTAATTATTTAAATGAAACAAAAAGAGTGGACTTCCATCCCGCGGCCATGATTGCTTCCTGTTGGAACACGTGTCCGTTCATCCATGACTCTGTGCACATCTTGATTGAAAAATTGATGGTTTATATGTCATATTCCATTTCTAAAGTCCATATTTATTTCACTTTAAGAAAATAATTGCTTTTATAGATGTTATTTTTAAGGAAAAATATATTATATCAACTCTAGTTGTACATGAATATTTGTAATTTAATATTTTCGCTGATAAAACTACATACATACAATGTCTGTTTATTTCTCGGTATTAATGAATTCAGTTTATAAATATCCTTCGATTAAAACGTGTCTTATCTTCGCGTATGTTTGTGAATGTTTATGAATTGTTCGGATTGCTGTTAAGGCGAATAAAGCAATATAAATATTATTACTCGGCGTTGGTTTTTCGGCAAACAAAAAGTCACTGAAAAGCAAGCATCTAAAGTGTACTTTTAGATTCATTGTTAGAAATACAACGCCCTCTATGGTGTAAGGGGAATATTATGTCTCACACACAGAAATCCACTAGTTATTAATTACTAATAATTGTAATATTTTTAAATTGATTTTAACGCAGAGTGTTGTGGCGTGTTTACACCGAGCTACAACATTACCTTTGACCTAACCGGCTTGGTGCGATGGGTGCGCGGTGGGCGTCGGTGACGTCAAAGTGTGGGCCGCGCTAAATATATCGGCGCTGTAAGGGCCGCTGTAACGCTACCGATCGGGCCCTGAATGTCAAAGATCACGCTAAATTATATTTTCAATTCATAACTGATTAGACCCGTGATCCGTTGCAATATCAGAATTTAAAAAAAAGATGAAGTAAGACTAAAATTTCAATACCATATTGCATTGCTGGGCCGATCCAATGTAAAGGAACAAGAAAAATAATACGCGAGTATTCGTGATTGCACAAAAATTGCCAATATTTAAACGTCCCTGGTACTGTTTCTTTGTAGAACTATATATATTGACTATACATACACATACAATAATTTATATTAATGATTTAATAACGAAGAGAAGCATTATTATCATAATTACAGCTTTTTCCACACAACTTAGAGATTTCGATTACAATTGTGTTCATGGAAATCTATTGGTAACCTTTCCAGTATTCAAAGTTTCAAATCTTCTTCGTGAATGTCAATATTTAATGAGAATATAATTAATTGTATTATGTCCACTGATAATGCTATATCTGACACGCGGTAAGGTCATACCTCCTGTTTATAATTAGAATAGATTTGTTTAGAAATAGTAACGGTGACTCTGTTTCCTTGTAAGATAACCGCGAATGCATTTAATTGCTAACAAGGAAACGAGTTATTAAATCTATCAAATATGATACGCATCATCTGTTACATTGTTAAGGACGGCTTCGTGCCTGTGCAGGCGAAATAGCTAGAAAGATTTACTTAGTTACCACTATGTTTTGACCTTAATGTGTATGCAGCATATTTAGGTATAGAAGGAGATGGAATCTATTCAACAGCCGTTCAAGTTATCCAGCTCAGACCAGCTTGCATCATCGTATTTAAGATATAATTTTGGTAGATATCTAGACGAATGTTATAAGACTGTCGTCAAAATAGGCTTTAATGCATAACAAAATTTTACACAACACCTGGTGATTCGTAGTGGATGACAGTAGGATACGCTTTTAATCTCAATGGAAGTAGTTTATCGCCTTTTATTGTCCGATCCCATAAAGATACAAACACGGACAATATTGGTACAAACACGTAGGAGACGCAAAAGTCGCAGTAAACAACTCTTTTTATCGGTCGTTCTGTTTGATCTCCTTTAGTTCTTCGTTTATCTTGCCGCCTTCAGTTGAAATAACAAATTTGGACATGAACTACCACGTAAATTTATATTCTTATAGTAATTGGATTTTATAATTTAGTGGGAATCTTTCAGCAAATCATGTAACGGTCCATCTATGCAATTGATATCAAGAAAAAAAAAATTAACCTTACCAACATATTTAAACAGGATTTCGATCAATAAATCCTACCTTCAGGCCCCAAGTTAGGACGAATCGATTAATGGTCAGTTCGCTTCAGTCATAGAGTTATTGATCGAAATCCTATTTAAATATGTTGTTAAGGTTGAAACCTTATTTTTTCTTGATATCAATTGCATAAATAGACCGTGGCAAGATTTGTTTGTCAATACCTGAGTTGTTAACTAAGTTACTGCTACGTCACACATTCTGATCTGACTACAGACTAAACAATTGCGCATCTGAATTGGTTTACTGATGTGTGGAAGTACCATGGCTTTGACAGCCTATATATTTTACCTCCTTATTACTTGCCAATTAGGTGCAGAATAAGGTGACATTAGGCGGCACGGAAGCATGCTATTATGCAATTGTTAGTGGCACGTGTATTGAGAACATTGTTATTATCGACGATAATTAGGAATCAAATCAAGGACATTTTCAACTTGCTTGGAGGATACAAGGAAAACTTATATGAACAATGGTTTGGCTAAAAAAATATTCGCTATAGAGCTAATATATACTTTTTCTTTGGAACTCTGTGGAATCTTGATTTTTAGTTGTAAAAAGCGAAAGATTGTACAAAAGGGTGCATGTTTGTATTCATATATGTAGAACTGTATGCAGTTGCGGTTAACAATATGTTATTACGTTATTAGAAACAAAACCATGTTCTCATGGTGCATTACGACATTTGCAGAGACGTGGTAGTATATATGGAGTGTGTTGTGCGCGGCTGTGTGCTGTGAGTGATAACGCTGCTTGCTCTCGATGTATCGCAATTCGCAACGTTCCGCGCCGCGCCGGCAATGTCACTGTGAGAAAAGCAACTGTATTTATAGCGATGTTATCAGACCGCTGAACGGTGGCCGATGTAAATTCCAATTGTAAGCGACTTGTTTCTGTTACATTCACATAACTCCGATTCACAATCGCGATACTTTATTATAACATATACCACCTTTTGTCAATGTATATCCCTTTGTGAAAATGTGTGGGACATTTATTACGTAAGAGTATGCAATCATTATTCATTTATTCTATCAAACTATCTAAGAACATACATAAAATAAACTGTAACACGTATAACTTCCTCTAAATCGCCAATAGCCTAATAGCCTGAGGTATGGACTACCGATCTTGCGGTCAAGGGTTCGAATTCCGCCATTCGAGTATTGTTTTGAACCATATCTTAGTACAAGCCTAGAGCTTACTTGGAATGGTTAGAGGAAATATTAGTAAAATAAACAAAAGCTAGTAATGTTTTTGAAAAAAAAAATCCTTAAGCACCACATCTATAAAGCTGTAGATGTATTGCTGTTTACAACTTACTAAAAACTATAGCAAACATTTGATTTCTACGTACACAAACTTGTCTAGACTGAGTCCTTCCGTTTACAAATATTATCATTAAATCATACGAGTAGCCAGATAACCTTCTTTACAGCAACTACCCTTGGCATTTAGTTATTTATAATTATCTTACTTTGGACAAATTACTTTTTTCCTCTTGTTCCATATATTGACGGAATTTGTTATAGTTTACTGTTGGTCGCAGTCCGTGTCCTCAAAGCAGTTTTAATCAAGTTGAGTGACTACTTAATTTTATTACAATTAGTTTTCTATGATAGATTTGAGATACTTAGAGATAAGTAATACTTTCAAATGAAAACGATTACTGTAAGAATTTAAAAATTGTAAAGGATTTTGATTTGCTACTAGAATTAATTCAATAAGTCAAGAAATTTTATATTGGACTATGCTTCTAATTGTTTAATTTATTTAGATTATCATAAGAAGTAATGTAGTATTTTGAATATTTTGACTAGGATTGATCCGTGCTTCTAAGATTTCTATACAAAACAATGTTTTTTTTTTAAATGAAAATCCCTTCAGTTAACTTGCAAAACACCTTGAGTATTTTTTGATTTTGAGAAAGTAATTATTATTGTAGCGGTAAAATTTATAGCAAGGACTTTTTTAAATATCTCGCTCTCGACAGAATGACGCAATATGGCATTAATTCATCTAAGAAATAAAAAAAATACATGTAATGTGATTTCTTTTTCTAGGGTAGCAAGTAAAATGTAGTAGGCGGCCATGATCGATGTCGTGGATGGTGGCGCAACACCCCCTAACCCCTTTCATCCCCATTCAACCCTCTATCGCTATGCAGGAGATACTTACTCGATGCAGTACTATACAGTACATATATAGTACATATATTTCTAGATATCCTTTTCTATGAAGGCTGTAAACAAAGTTTTACACCGTATAAATCACAATTAAAATTACCATACGTAATTGGTTTGCGTTAACTTGGCTTTTAATATTTAATTAAATGTAATTACGACTCAGTGTCGCAAGTAGTAAACATGTAACTTAATGCATGTATGATCTACTCGTATATCAGAGGTCTATAATAAGTGCATCGAGACCTCAAAACTTTAACAATTGTTAGTGTCTAGTATGCGGTGAGAATATTGCTATAGGACCTTACAATGGTTTTATTAATTTACTCAAATATTAAACTCGAAAAATGTTTTTAATATATTGGTCACATAATTTACTAATCCGATGACCTGTTCCGTATGACGACGACTCTTATAAAAATTGGCAACCATTATTCTTCAGTTCGTGACCAACATTAGACTACAAAGAATATTAGTTAATATGTAAAAATTGTCATAATAAACGATCGTGCAGTGTTGGTATGTGTAGACGCTCCGCACTGAGATGTGCGATTAGATATCGAGGGTGCCGTTACTCCGTCTGGCCTAACAATGCCTCAGCCTCATCTCAGTGGACTTTTTGTGCACACGCGATCCCATCCGGTTTTGTTCAAATAAAAAAGACATAATCGAATCTTTTGCGGTCCGATCAAAACAAACTTCACTAAATCGTTGCTATGCTCAATATTTAACAATATGTATAGGTATTTAAAAGATAGTAGGTGGAAATTTGATAAAGTATAGTAGCCCCCCTCTCTTTTGCTCTTTATACAAAAATATCACACAAATTTTCACCAGCAGCATGTAGGTAGAAAACATACACTTACGCCTTCTCTTCGTTAGGAATATTACAAGCTTCGATTTAGCTCGGCCCTGACACCCTTTTTTCGTATTATCTGCCTCTATGTAAGCGTACGTGCTCTTCGTGTACAACCTTGTACATGGCCCTTCAGTTAAATACATTTCAGTTTTTGGTACATTACCATTTTCAAATTACCAACTACACTTTTACCCTATGTCCGTCCCTTCTATGGTTAACTCCTGTAGTCTTAATGGCTTCAGTTAATAATATATTCTTATTAAATACTAGTTGTTGCTCCCGACTTCCCCGTTGAAATTTAAAAAAAAAATAAGAAATATAGCCTATGTTACTCACGGATAAATTACCATTCTAACGATGATGGAAGTTTTAAAATCTGCCCAGTAGTTTTTGAGTTATATCAATACATACAAAAATTCAAATATTGCTATGTCATATTAATATTAGTATAGATGATTCCAGTGATATAAGCTAAACAGAGCACTTTATTCATTCTTATTAGTATGTAGTGGCAAAATGTTAAGAGTGGGAGGTTCGTGATAGAAACTGGTTTGCGTCCCGGCATCGCATCGCTCGTCTCCGGTCGGCAGCTGTCAACGTTCAGCGCTCACTGTCGACGCAAAAACATCACATACGCGTATACTTGTACTATACTTTCAAATTTTTACACAAAATTCATTAATATGCGATGGGAATGTTGTCGCGAAATAATATATCACCAGAAATAACGAGCATTTAAAGAGTTTTTTTGGTAAAATTCTTTATAACTGTTGTGTATAGCTATAAAAAAAGGACTAGTTTATTGCCGCAGATTTTCGCAAAAAATCTTTCGTAATTATTTTCTTTAATTCGTTATATTTCAGTGTAACATTACCTACATATTACACAACTTTTTTCAGTCTCCAACAGGAAGTAAGATAGTATAAGCAAATTAATCTCAATACAGAATTAACATTGTTGCGTGTTATATGAAATCCACAAGACCAGCAGTATAAAGGACGTATAACACTTTCAGCTCGTGAGAAAAAAAAATAAAGTTTTTAAAATACATTTGTCTCTCACATAAACCGGTTCCACAGTAGTCGTTTATGATACAACCTACAAAACACTGAGGCATTATTTTTGTACATATATCTTAAAAACGCAATGAAATAACACAATTTAAAACCTTATTTTAATTCTCTCAAAAATACGGGAACTGCAAAGATAACATCTTTAGGTTTAAGAATTTCTTAAACAACGGCCCTGATCAAATAATCTTAAAAACTCATTGGATCTGTACAAATATCGCCCTCCTAAAATACTTCACGTTACATTTAAATAAAATTTTTAAACCACTTAAATATAATTCCACTACAATTTTCATGTATCCCTAAAGTTGAGGACTGCATTGTAGAAAGCATTGGCGAAGGCATATGTTCAACAGAGGTCAGATAAAGGTTGAAGATGACGTTTATTACATGAGCTCTATCTCGGTGTGCAGGTGTCGGCGGCGCAGCATATGCAAGTGAACAGCGGCGGCGCGGGCGCGGGCGCGGGCGGGCACGTGTCTGTGGCCGCGCAGCAGGGCATGTATGCCAGCTTCCAGCACCAGGGCACGCCCTCACCGCAGCATCATCAAGGTAAGATAACTAATAGCTATTGAAACCAACGTGTGAAATGATACTGATCTAAACTTGAAAGACCGTCGGCTTACCATATCCTGTTTTAGCGCAGAAAATGACTATAATGTAATAATTCATGCAATAAATTGAATCATATTCTACGTATTAGTCCATAAGGCAAATCCTGTTCATACGCTACCATAAACAGACGCGCAAAGTTTATTTTTCATAACATAGTACAATGTACTGCGGAGTATGCGAGCTGCTAGTTTCCAGCATAAGTGTAAATTGTGATCTTTATTTTGTAGCGCTGCACAGTGCAGCCGAGGCTCAGGTTAGAATGGCCGGCTTGCGGTCGGAGACGCGCAGGATGAGGTTGACGCTCTGAGAGAATGCGTCAAGTCGCGCTTCGGGGATGACATGCGTACATTGAAGTCTTTATTGTTGCAATCTTGGCCGCTAGCTCCGTGCAGTAACAAATGTGGCATTGCTCGGTCCATTGCCTTGTAGGAGCCGGTTTACGAGTAAACGTGGAGTTATTTAAGGTTCGGCAATAATTATGCTAGGCGACTATGCGTCGTATAGATTCCGTGAATATGACACATCGTGTGGAGAGGCGCCGGACAGCACTTATAACCGAGTCGGTTAACCAAAGTAACTGATACGGCTACTAAAGCTGTTTTGTACGTTTTTTAAGAAGCTATCTAAAACTATATTAATCACAAGTATTAACTGCGATGACATATGTTGCAATTGCAATAGAAGAATAGATCGATAGAAGTATAGATCAAGGATGGCTCGGTCGACCCAGATCCGCTGAGCGGTCGTGACGCCAAATTAGGTCGATTCCTAGTCAGGTTTCTAAATGCGCACACCTGATATCTTGAGTAATTAATTAGCTCCTTTCTCCTAACCCAATGGATGACACTGTTAAAGGGTTTTCACACACCTAAATTTTTAATTTACTATTAATTTAAATATCTTATTTGGATGCGAATAAGTGTTCGCAAAAGTCATATCAAGTGTGAAAATGAAATCACTAGGTTTTTTAAATCGTTTTATTAGAGAAATCATTTCCGATCGTTTCGATAAGGCACGCAACTTGCGAGACAGGTTTATTCACGATGTATGTAAACCAGTACATTAAATTTATTCTATCTTACAGTATCTTTGAATTTAACAAAGTAGGATTTTAGTAAAAGTTACGTTATGGTAGATGACCTTGTTTAGCTTCAAATATACATTTCAATTTCAAAAGGTTTAGAGCGGAAGGCAAGTTTAGCTAGAACCTAACCGACAATTTTCACTTCCTCTGTATACCACTTATTTTCTTTCTGAAAAATAAAATACATATTACATTTTGTGCCACTATCGCGGCGGTGAAAGTCTAGTCTTTAGATTACATATCAAGAAATCTAATATATTATTTGTGCATTTTTAGGTAGCGGTTGCGATACGTACTCGGTGTCGCAGTCGCAGAGCCTTAACTTCTCGCAGGCGATGCGCAATCGCCAAGCTCCGACCCAGCAGCAGCCAGCAGCACAACCACCGCCTCTAGGTAACAACTTCGAAAAATTGTAACTATAGGGTATGAGTGGGAATAATGTGCGTCAATGACTAAATAAGTTAACATTGCGGTTACTGAATTATTGTTAATCGTGTTTTGTATAGGTTACAAGTCAAGACTTTGGAGCCTATTTAATTAATGTTCTGATAAATTGAGTTATATACGAGCTCAGCTACCACTAACCATGACTACGTGATATTCAACCATCTTGTAGCATTTAAGCGCAATAAATAATTTAACACGTTGTGCGCGTTTTCCTGTACATTATGTAAACTATTGGAATGTAAAGCAACATACGTAACAATGATATAAGCGATTACATTCACAAATCAAGATGACAATCACGAAATATTTTTAACTAGTACAAAATCAACGTTTAAATTATAGAATAAAATAATTTATTTATGGCCGATTTCCCAGCTACGATTAACCATTCATTATTGTTTTTGGTTTGACAAATTCACGAAATGCGTTTCGGAACTACGTAACTTAAGTTTTACTCCGTTGAAAATTAGGTTAATCTAGCTCTCATGAATCATTTAGGTACTGACAAAAGAAGTGGAAACTTCAGAAACCCTTTAATTTAATGTTTTTTTTTAATTATCGGGATTTTCAAAGGATTTTATTACACCATCAGGTGTAGCAGCAGCCGGCATCTCCC